TGTCGTCATTGAACACCATCCTGGCAAGGGTGGTCTTACCGATGCCGCCAGCACCTGTGATAGCGGCAGAGACAATGACATTGCCGCCGCTGGTTCGGTGAGCATCAGCATCTACCTCATCCTGCAGAAGCAGGGTGACAAGGTCCTGCGCGTCTCTCTGGATCTTGTCACCCACGACACCAGACCGGACGATGCTGTCCGACGAGCCCAACAAAGAGTCTGCAGCAGCTCCGTTGGTGGAGTGAAGAATGGAGGAGTGGAGCTCCCGGACGATGAACCCGAAGCGGGAGCTCCTCTCCGCGATGTCGCGCAGCCGTTTGTTGAGTGCCTTGATCTTCCTCCCGATCTCGTGTGCGGCGACGGGGTTGCGGAAGCAGAAGATGTTGAAGCACCTTGAAGAAGCGGTTCTGCTTGGAGCTGCCATGGGATCCTCCTCTCCACCACCAGGACCCTCCATGATCTGGCAGAGGTCGAGGATGTCATCGATGTCGTACATGGCATCCTTGAGCTCCCTGACCCACCTCTCCACAGCATTGCTTCGGATGCGCGCCATCTCAGCGTCCTCCATTATGGCGCTCAGGTCGCCGATCGTCGTCTCGAGCTTGGTGATCTCGCCAGGGATGCCGAGGAGCATCTCCACCTCCTCCTTCGCTATGCCCATCAGGATGCCGGCCAGCTTGGACGCGAATGCGGCCAGCACCACCGCCATAGTCAGGAGGAAGTGGTAGCTTGTTACTTAGCTAGCAGCAGCGAAACAAGAGGAGGAGCGGGTTTCAGATTCGGAATGTGTGCGCTCCAGCTCCAGCTCCACTCTCTGCTGACTTGGGAGGGAGACGACGTTCTATATACAAGCAAGGGTGGACCGCTGGATGCAAGGTTACAATACGCACACATACACGAGACGGTGAGAGTGATGTTCAACGCATAGGGGCACGCAACAGCCATGTTTATCAGTCTGTAGTCAGAACGTAAAGATCGAGGAAGTATTTCTACTCACCCCGGAAGAGCGGAAAAGCACGTGGACTGCCAGTGCTCTCCTCCCCAGCGATGTCAACGGGAAATTTCCCGTAAGGGGACACCACCCCATCCCCGTCCCCGACGAAGGCATGGTATGCTCAACTGAAGGAGGAAGCCAGCGGCCAAAGAAAAACGAAATAAATAAATAAATAAATAACTAGAATCGGAGGTGGTAGCGGGACTACAGGAGTATCACCTTCTCTGTATAGGGAATCAGCTCGCCGGAAGCTCATTTGCTCGGTGGCGTTGAGGATTCCCGAGCACCCACCGTCCGCCGACCAATCCTGCATCTGCATCCAACTGGCGGACGTCGGTGGTTGGATGGGAGACAGCAGGGACGGGCGGCGGCAGTTGGGTCATGGGTGGGAGATGGGAGGGGCGGCGGCCGCGCTTGAGCACTCGGGATCTGGCAGAGGTGGCGCTTGGGCGGGGGACTGGGGAGTGACGGAGGGATGACCAGTGGAGACTGAGGGCACGTTCGGTTGACGCGGGTGCCGGTTTGGATTGACCTAGTGTTGGACACTGTTGCCTGATTAGTTTGAGTTAGCTGAAACCAACAAACGAATAGGTTGTGAGACGGAATGAATGGAGTTCTACCTCAAATTGACGGTTGGCTACATCGACGTGCTAAACGGGTTCGGGCTATGCTTCCCCGTCCCGGCGCTGTCAAACGCGATTGGGGTGGTTTTGCCCCGTTTAGTTTTGCAGCTAGCATTGCTAGCGTACCAACGTTCGGACGCACGCCCACACATGCTCCATGCTGGCTCGCGTCGTCCGAGGGATAAGAGAAAAAGGGAGTGGCTCGTCATAAACGATTCTAAATTTTCAGCCGGAACAGTATTTTTCTCTCACACAAACCAGCTAGCAGTACTTCTTCACGAACCAGCAACGATATGAACCAGCCAACCGAACAGGTTGCTAATTTGGAAGGACTCGGCCGCAGCGTCATATCGATGTCGGGAGAAGAACACACTGAGACAATACAACAGAAGGCGTGCTTTTGAAACATGAAAATACAATAGTTGCAACATGTGTCTGAAGACAAATGAAACATTTGAAACATGTTTCTAAAAATCAAACCTTAAAACACTTGAAAACCATTGCAACCATACGCAACATCTAGATAAAACACATGTAACGTATGTGTGAAACATATACAACATCCAGATAAACACACTTGCAACATACATGCAGAAAACACAGATGAAACATTGGTAATAGACCTTTGCAACATATATGTACTAACATTACAACATATGCAATATTCTGATCTACTTTTGCAATGTCCATCTGAAACACTTGCAACAAACCTCTGAAACATCTGAAACACTCGAAAGATACGTTTGCAACATGCACTTTCATCAGTGCCGCCCGCGAGGACACCGCCACAGGCATCCGTGCGGCCCGCCACCATCTGCATGTCGAACATGAGGAGGAGGAGAGGCCACCAAGCGCCGCCGCCTCCACACCAGCGAAGGAGAAGCGGATGAGGGAGGGGCCGGACCTCGGCCCGTAGCCTCGCCGGCGGAGGAACAGAGGAGGGATGGGCCAGATCTCAGCCACCCTGGCCATTCCGCCGCGGAGGAGAAAGTGGAGGTGGACGTCGGCCTTCGTTCGACATAGGAGGAAGAGGAGGTGGACGCCGATATATGCAGGAGAAGAGGAGGGCGGGGCTAGCGAAGAGAACGAGCGGCGCGCCAGAGCGGAGTCGCGGAGAAGATGCGATGCGCCGCGAGAGGAGTGGGCTACGGGGAGAAGATGTTGCTCGTCAATTAGGACTGAGTTTTTTATTTTTACGTGAATCCCACATTATTGGCGGGATATTGTGGAAGATGAAATAGCAAAAGACTACTTACGCCGAGGCCCATTCATATAGACTGGTTTGGCATGTACCTTGAGCTTGCTCTGAAATGGATAGATCTAGATGAATATAAGCGTGGCAACCGAGGTCTGGTAATCTTTCCGTCGACTGGATTGCTATGGATAGGTGGGTTGGTTCTGTTGAGTTGCTCAACCCATGAACACCCTGCCACTGATCCTCGACGCCAGCTTATGTGGCGTCCGGGCCGCTGCTGCTAGCCTGCCAAGGTGTGCGGTGTGCCCTCCTCGTGCTTGCCCACGCGTCCGCGGTCTGGCCGTGTTGCTGTCGCCACTCGCCACTCGCCGGTCGCTGCACACAATTTACTATAAACTATAGAGCAACTAACCTACTAGGTAGCTAGACAGCAGAGGTAAAGCAACTAAGCCCGGGTTTAGTTCGCGAAATTTGGATTTTGAGGCTACTGTAGCACATTCGTTTTTATTTGTCAAATAGTGTCCAAATATTGACTAATTAGGTTTAAAACGTTCGTCTCGTAATTTCCCACCAAACTGTGCAATTAGTTTTTCTTTTTATCTACATTTAATGCTCCATGCACGGGCCACAAACATTTAATATGACAGGTACTGTAACAACTTTTTGAATTTTGAGGTCCAACTAAACAAGAACTAAGTTAGGCCGTCGTCTTTTCGATGGCCCGATCAATTCATTTATCCTTAATAGTGACAGCTTTAAATTAAATTTTCTGTTGATGGCACGTCTCTGTACACGCAGATGGCACAGACGACTGACTATCGTTCGCTGGGCTTATTACACGTACTTTTTTTAAAATAATAAATAGTATTTTTTTCTCACGATAAATTAGTCAACGATGCTTTCACCCCATCGCACTCCATCAACCGCCCCTTTTGTCATTGAACCAAGTGCGTGCGTACAGGAGTAGTACAATAATACTTGTAGAAGAGAAGATAGAGTGGTCGCTTTCCTTGGTTCGTTCGACCACCGCCGCCTCTTTTTCTTCCGCTTCTCTAGCCATCACAAATGATCAAATCCAAATATCCAATACCGTCTCCTCACGTTTTCATCATCAAATCAAAGAGTAAAAAATGGAGCAATGTGGGTACCCTCAAAATTAAATAGAGCTTGCTTGACACAGTTTCGATCTTTTCCGTCGAAATCTTACGTAATCAACGGCACCATCCAATCCTATATATAGGGGCGGTTTGGTATGGCTTCCAGGGCAGCTCCTGGAGCTGTTTTGCTGCTCCATCAACCAAACGGGTAGAAAGTGAACAGCTCCGACGAAGGATCCCTGGATTTTGCGCTCTCACATGCCAGTGCCGTCGATTGAACCCAAAAAATCAAGCTCCCATCGGCTCCCTCTGACAACGCGTGGGACCGGACTTTTTTGCCCTGACTCGGGTGGGCGAGGCCGCGCGGACGAGACGGCGAGGTGGAGATGGGCGCGGAGAAGACGGCGAGGTGGAGGTGTGCGCGGAGAAGACAGGCACCGGGCCGGAGGCGGCATGGCTGCGCCGGGGCGGAGCCGGTCCCGGCAAGGGCGTGGGGGCACGCGTCGGTGGGGCATCCTAGTGAGGCTCGGCGGTGGCGGCGCGTGGCGGAGGGCGGAGGACGCGGAGGGCAGCTGGGCATGTGATGCCGAGTGGTTGGGGAAGGGAAGAAAGAGAAGATGTTGTGCGGTGGGGAGGGTGAGCGGATAAGCGGTTGGCTGGTTCATATCATTATATCGTTGTTGGTTCGTGAAGAAGTACGGCTGGCTGGTTTGTGTGAGAGAAAAATATTGTTCCGGCTGAAAATTTACGATCGTTTACGATAAACCACAACCAAACGAAGATGCTGAAGGTTGGGGAGGAAAAAGAAAGAAAAAAATGTATTATTGACATTTCACTCTTTTGACATGTAAGAGAAGCTGTTTTTGCTAAACGATCCTAAAAACTATTTTAGCTCTAAGATGAATCTGCTCCATAGAAAAAAAAGCCTTGACTGAAGCTGCATAGTCAAACGGGCCCTGCTGTGGGTACTGCAGTGAACAGACTCCCATCCTCTCAGATACAAGCAGCAACAACGGGTCTCGTGCAGTCGTGCTTCAGCTTGCATCACGGCGCTGTAGCAGCCGGCCTGGTGCCCAAGACTGGGTCCATCCATGGCGTCGGTAACCACCAGCGCAGCCGCCGCCGGGCCACACCTCGACCGGCCCCACGTCGTGCTTGTGGCTAGCCCCGGCGCAGGCCACCTCATGCCGATGGCCGAGCTGGCGCGGCGCCTCGTGGCACACCACGCCCTCGCGGCCACGCTCGTCACCTTCGCCGACCTCTCCGGGGACCCTGACGCGCACTCCGCCGCCGTCCTTTCCTCCCTCCGCGCGGCGAACGTTTCCACCGCCACGCTCCCTGCAGTCCCGCTCGACGACCTCCCCGCCGATGCCTGCATCGAGACCGTGCTCCTCGAGGTGATCGGCCGCTCCATCCCGCACCTTCGCGCTCTGCTCCACGACGTTGGCAACACCGCCGCCCCGCTGGCCGCGCTGGTGCCTGACTTATTCGCCACCGCGGCGTTGCCCCTCGCCTCCGAGCTCGGCGTCCCGGGGTACATCTTCTTCCCCAGCAACCTCAGCGTGCTCTCCGTCATGCGAAGCGCCGTGGAGCTCAACGATGGCGCCGGCGCCGGCGAGTATCACGACCTCCCGGACCCTCTCCCGCTTCCCGGGGGCGTGTCGCTACGCCGCGAGGACGTGCCGAGTGGGCTCCGATACAGCAAGGAACCGGCCTACGCGCAACTCATCCAAGTGGGCCGCCGGTACCGAACCGCTGCCGGCTTCTTGGTCAACACTTTCTACGAGATGGATCCGGCGACCGTGGAGGAGTTTAAGAAGGCGGCACAGCAAGGCAGGTTCCCGCCGGCTTACCCGGTGGGCCCGTTCGTCAGGTCAAGCTCCGACGAAGGCGGCGTGTCGTCGCCGTGCATAGAGTGGCTGGATCGGCAGCCGACGGGATCCGTGGTGTACGTTTCCTTCGGGAGCGCCGGCACGCTGTCCGTGGAGCAGACGGCGGAGCTCGCCGCCGGGCTGGAGGACAGCGGGCACAGGTTCCTCTGGATCGTGCGCATGCCAAGCCTGGACGGCGAGCACTCCGACGACATGGGTCGGAAATCCCGTGGCGGTGGCGACGAGAACGATCCCTTGGCTTGGCTTCCAGAGGGGTTCTTGGAGAGGACCCGGGGGCGTGGCCTCGCCGTGGCGTCGTGGGCGCCGCAGGTGCGCGTGCTGTCCCACCCGGCGACGGCCGCCTTCGTGTCCCACTGCGGGTGGAACTCGACGCTGGAGAGCGTCTCGTCCGGCGTGCCGATGGTGGCGTGGCCGCTGTACGCGGAGCAGCGGATGAACGCCATGGTCCTGTCGGAGAACTTGGGCGTGGCACTGCGGCTGCGCGTCCTCACGGACGACGGGCTGGTTGGGCGCGAGCAGATCGCGGCGGCGGTGAGAGAGCTGATGGAGGGGGAGGATGGGCGCGCCGTGCGGCGCCGGACGGGGGACCTGCAGCAAGCGGCGGACCTGGCGTGGGCGCGGGATGGATCGTCGCGCCGGACGTTGGAGGAGGTCGTCGGCAGGTGGACGGCGGGTGCGCTTGGCAAAGTATCTGTCGTTTCGTCGTCGTGAATCGTGATGATGTTGATGTCTGTTGTCCTGGTGAATTTGTGCTACATAAAAATAAAAGGATAAAATTCGATTTACCCCTTAAATTTAACCTTGAATTTAAAAACATCGTTGAAGTAGATAAAACCCGATTCTTAACTTTCAATCAAAACCTGACAAATTACCACCTGTCACCTATGCTGAAATAGTCCACAACGGTTTCGTAGGTGTTTTTGATTCAAATGTACCATATGTGACATCTGGGTCCCATATTTCTTCTTTTTAGGCATGCCATTGTTTATGAATTATTTGGATTCCTACTTAGGGCCTGGTCGCTGGTTGGTTTCTGGGCTGATAAACCCGGCTGATACTAGTTTGTTATAAGAGAAAAACACTGTTGACTGACTAATAAGTCCTAACTAAAACCAACAAGCAAGCAGGCTAATAATCTTCTTAAATCTAAGACCCCTTTGGCATAGGTCCAGAGTAGTGATAATCTTCTTCTTATATCTAAGACCCCTTTGGCATAGGTCCCGAGTAGTGATAATCTTCTTAAATCGACCCTTTTGGCATAGGTCCGGAGTAGTGCGCTGGATTGTCGGGGCGTGCTAGCTTACTGCCCATTCGGACGGTCCGACAATTGTCCCTCGCAGCTTTCCTGTCCCACTAGTTAATTAATTTTGGTCCTCGTAGCTTTCCTGTCCCACCAGTTAATTAATTTTGGCCCTCGCAGCTTTCCCGTCCCACCACACCAGTTAATTAATTTTGGCCCTCGTAGCTTTCCCGTCCCACCAGTTAATTAATTTTGGCCCTCGCAGCTTTCCTGTCCCACCAGTTGTATTTAATTCTCGACAATTAATTTAATTAATTTTCATGCTCGTAACTCTTTCTTGTGTGCTTCTTTCCCCGGCTAAAGAAAATAAGAAACATTCACAAATCACAAATCAAAAATAGTGCGCTTACCTTGAATTGAACCCAAGACCCATGGTCTAAGATATCATTCTCCTACCATTAAAGCACATTAGTGTTTGTGATAAATATGAAATATTTTTGCTATTAAATCATATCAAACTAGAAAAATATATCACACACCATCTCATAAGATAATCATGGAACATTAAACTTATACTATGTGCACATCCAAAAATATATCGTAGAACATCGCATGTATGCCATGTGAACATCATAAAAATACTACATAGAACATTAAATGAATACCATGTGAACATCAGAAAAATACATGTAGAACATCTCATATATACTATGTGAACATCATAAAATATAACACAAAACATCACATGTATATTATGTGAACATCACAAATACATCAAAGAACATCATAAAACACATCAGAGAACATCGCATGTATATTACGTCAGCATCATAAAATACATCACAGAACAGCACACTATACTAAAATATAGAAAAAGAAAGAAAAAATAATAAATATAAATAAAATAAAACAAACAAAATAATTAATTATAGTAAAAGAAAAAATAAAATAAGTAAAAAGAAAAAATAACATGAATAAAAAAACAAAAAGAAAGATATGGAAAGAAAAAATAATAAGAAAAGGAAAGGAAAGGAAAAAAGAAATAAAAGAAAAATAAAAAATAACAAAAACACATAAAACAAAAAGGAAATAAAAATATAAAGTAAATGAAGCACAAAAAGAAAAAATAAAATAAAATAAAATAATTAGTATAATATACTTTCTCCATTTCAAATTATAAAAGAAATAAACAAAATATAAAAGATAGTAGAAAATGAAAAATATAAAATACCTCAGAAAACAGAAAGAAAAAGAAAAGAAAACAAAAAAGAAAGAAAGACAACCCACCCAACTGCTCTCGTCGTGGGCCTGGTCGTTCCTGCTCTTGTGTGGGCCGTGATTACGTCCGCTGGCTGTTCGGCACGCTGCGGACGGAAATTCCCGCCAAACTTCACGCGGCTGTTCGGCGCACAGCTCTCCCTCCAGCAGGAGGAAGCATAGACAGTTTGCAACTGGGCCACAGACTAGGCCCTGATCTGGCCCATTTAAGTTGGGCACGTGGCCTAACCAACATGACTCGAACTTCATCCACTCCTTACCGTTCCGTTCTGTAGCACATAGTAGATCTCAAAAAAATTATTACAAAGTAGACTTCCTTTTCTTTTATTTCTTTTTTCTCTCTCTCAACAACTACGGCCAGCTCAGTGTACGCGTAGATTATAGAATTCTAGTACTATATATACGGTTGTTCAGCCAAAGGATGGTAGACCGGCTGGTCAAACACTTCTGTTGGTACGCTTAGTGTCTGAGTTTGATCTTCCACGCGAGCGAATTTGCAACATCGGAGGTGAAAAAATTTCTCGCCTGCCCCGCGTCCCAAAGCACAGGTTTGTAGGTACCGGTCCACTCACAGGGTTACGAGCCCCTGTGTACGGGCGAGATATGGGGTTTGGGGGTTTCTCAACCTACGTGAGAGGTCTTTGCCTTAAGCCGAAAATCCCGGTAGCTGTCTAGCCATCGCGTGCGATTGTTCATCCTAAGGCCTCTACATCTTTTTTTTAAAAGTGACAAATATAACCTCCAATCTCTTCGCATGATATTTGAGTTAGAGATCTTTATAGATGGTCGGCCGAGTGCCCCTGTGATGGACAGAATGACAGAACGGTATGCATTCTTATTCGGCTATGCATGCTCTCGTGAACTTGTGATGCATAGAATGGTCTGCCGAGTATACGTACAAAAAGATACAGTATGTCTTTCAGTCAGAATAGTATTTTTTTTTCACAGCAATTCAGCCGGAACAGTATTTTGACTTATTTTCCAGCCAGCCGAACACTCCACAGGCGTCAGGCGAGGGGTGGCTGTAAACAGCTAGCTGCAGCTTGGCCTTGGCGCAGACGCCTGTTTGTTCAGGTACTCGATCGCCACGGCGGTGTGGAGCGCGGCTCCGATGGGGAGTGCGGCCTCGTCGATGTCGAGGTGCGGCGAGTGCACGTGGTGGATCTTCCCCGTCTCGGCGTTGCGGACGCCGACGCTGAAGAAGGCCGCCGGGATCCGCTGCGAGTAGAAGCCGAAGTCCTCGGCCGCCATGAACTGGGGGCACAGCTAGCCTCACGTTGGCCTCCCCGATCATGCTCTTGGCCACCGCCTTGGCGTGGCCGTACACCAGCTCGTCGTTGACGGTGGCTGGGTATGGCCTCATCTTCTCCTCCATAAAGTCGACGGCCGCCGTGCACCACCCCACGGCGGCCTGACCTTCTACCACCTGCCATTGCCAACATACATTGACTCGTTTCATTCCAAAATCCTACGGAATCTATGAGCAGCCTGTTTGCCTTGGTTTGTCACCTCTCGGATTCTCTTCATGAGGTAGGACAGGCCTTCGGTTGTCATGCTCCGGCAGGTGCCACCCAGGGTCACAGACTCCGGAATGACGTTGAAAGCCTCGCCGCCTCTGATGAAGGTCACGGACACCACCTGCAAGCCGCAAGCAAGAAGACGCCATGCATTACAACTCACGAGTCACGCACGACGGCTCACGGCGATCGATCTGCTGCACTGCAGATGACGGAACGTACAGCGCCCTGCAGGGGATCGGTCGCGCGGGCGACGAGCTGCTGGAGGCCCAGCACGGCGGAGGACGCCGCGACGATCGGGTCGACGACGTGCTGGGGCCCCGCCGCGTGGCCGCCTTTCCCCGTGATGGTCGCCGTGAACCGGGCCTGGCCTGGAGCCGACGGTGCCCACCGACAGGGCGGTGTCCACGTGCACGGCGAAGATGGTCTGCACGTCGTCCAGGACATCTTCGTTTGTTGAGTTGTGATCTAAATTCAGTTATGTACAAGATAAAGATTAACTTCTATCGGAGCGAAGAAAGACCCGTCACCGGGAGGCTTAGGCCGAAGCGAAGCGGAAAGAGCAGTAGTACTGTAGTACCTTGAAAAGGTCCCTCCTAGACTGTAGCAGCCTAGCAGCTCCGAGTAGCATTGCCACGTGAGCATCATGGCCACAGGCGTGCATCTTCCCGTCTTGCTCTTGAACTCCCACTCGACCAATTCCTGCAAAAATGCATGCAAATGGAGGAGCAAATGGTCATCGAAATATTCGACCAATCGCATAGGACTCCATGCTCACCATAAAGTACAGCAGCAGCAGTAAGCAGCTGAGGCAAATCATTTTCGTGCTTGAGTTGTCGGCAAAAATATGTCCGTTCGGTTTTCTGTGATACGATACGAATGCGACAGGCAAAGCACGCAGCCAACGTGGGCAATTTTATATTGAAGTCGTAGGCCCCGCTTGACAGAGCTCATTCTGGCACTTTCATATGCTGTAGCAAGAAGCTGTTTTTATCTTTTCTCTTAAAATAAAATAAATTAGGAGAGCCATGCTATTTTCTGTTCCATCTCACCATCTGCTCTAGCCTCTACCTCCTCATACACCGTAGCAAGAAACTGTGCCACAGGAGGCCTATCGATTATGGAAAGTTGGAACGGAACACAAGACAATGCTGCAGGTCTCGTTTTTACTCAACTGAGTTCTTTTGATCGATGCATGGAGTATTGGAATGGCCAGATGACGAGATCATGTTCAGGCTATGGTGTTAGAGGCCTAGCTGGGCGCCTGGGCCTCGCTCGCCGCCGGCGAGACGTGTTTGTTCAGGTACTCCATGGCCACGGCGGCGTGGAACGCGGCTCCGATGGGGAGCGCGCCCTCGTCGATCTGGAGGTGCGGCGAGTGCACGTGGTGGACCTTCCCCGTCCCCTCGTCGCGGACGCCGACGCTGAAGAAGGCGGCCGGGATCTTCTGCGCGTTGAAGCCGAAGTCCTCCGCCGCCATGACCTGCGGCCGGACCTTCACGTTGGCCTCGCCCAGCATGCTCTCGGCCACCGCCTTGGCGTGGGAGTACATCGCCTCGTCGTTCACGGTGGCCGGGTACGGCCTCATCTTCTCCTCCATGAAGTCCACCGTTGCGGCGCAGCGGCTTGTCCTTCTATCACCTGCACCATAGATGGCGTCGTCATCGTCGTGAAAGGGAATCCGGATTATTAGGCCATTGTATTTGGTCATGCGAGTTTCAGATTTTGTCAGTGTTAACCACCTCTCTGATTCTCTTCATGAGATAGGATAGGCCATCGTTCGTCATGCTTCTGAAGGTGCCACCCATGGTGACGGATTCTGGGATGACATTGAAAGCTTCGCCTCCTTTGATGAAGGTCACTGACACAACCTGGAATGCAAGCAGAAGCAGCACGACGACGAAATGCACGCAGTTCATCAGCTACTTACACTGCATTGCAGTCTTGCAGACACAAGTTGTACTAGTGTACGTACCGCGCCCTGTAGAGGATCGGTCTCGCGGGCAACGAGCTGCTGGAGGCTGAGGACGGCGGAGGACGCCGCGACGATCGGGTCGACGACGTGCTGCGGCCCCGCCGCATGCCCGCCTTTCCCCGTGATGGTCGCCGTGAACCGAGCCGCTCCGGCGACGAGCACCGGCCCTGGCCTGGAGCCGACGAGGCCCACCGGCAGTCCCGTGTCGACGTGCACGGCGAAGATGGCCTGCACGTCGTCCAGGACGCCTTCTTTGAGGACGTGGTACCCGCCGGCGTGGCCCTCCTCGGCCGGCTGGAAGACGAGCTTCACTGTACCCTATGGATGAAACGGTAAATGTGGTGGCTAGATATTTTAACTCTCTTGTAAAAACAAGATAATGCATAGTAGATGCTAAACAAAATGAGCTATTATTACTTGGAACGGAGAAAGTATTCTCCCTGTTCCTTATGCTAAAATTTGGTTTACGCTGGAACGTTGGACGAGGAAAACACTGTTCATCGATTACAACCAAATTAAGTTTGAGACTGTAGAGTGGATTACTGAAATATATGTTTCTGACAAAAGCCAGCCTAAAAATATATATTTCTGACAAAAGCGAGCCTAAAAATGGCCCAACAGTACCTTCAAATCGTGCCTCCGAGACTGAAGCAGCTTAGCTGCTCCGAGAAGCATCGCCACAATGGCCTTAATGGCCGCAGGCATGCATCTTCCCGTCTTCCTTGCTCTTGAACTCCCATTCTACCATTTCCTGCCAATGGGAAGTCATGGTAAAGCCAAGATGTTGACAACTATTATGTTGTATAGTTCTCTACTTAAGGGATCATCATGAAGCGTCTCCATTTGGTTTTATGATGATGCAACAGCCGAGTTGTATGGTTGTCAGTCGCTCTCAAGCTTACGTTGGGTCTCTTTGCTGGAACTTATCAGCCGACTTATCGGCTAGAATCTACAGTATTTTTTTTCATAACAAATCAGCTTCAGCCAACTTATCAGCCGACTTTAATATCAGCTGATACTGAGAAATGGCGATTTTGTCATGTACAACAGTGCAGGAAGGCAGAAACAAACTAAATAAATGATCCAAAGCATTTCTTTGCCGCTTGCCAAACAAAAAGATGGAAAATTTGATAAGATCAAATTTCATGTTTATTATTGACTGGTTTGTGCAAATTTAAACCGCCGCCAAAAATAAAAGGTCTGATCAAATTCAAGCAATCGCAAGCATGCACTGAGCCGGTGATTGACCTCCTTGACCTCCGAATCAATCAATCAAAGAAGTCAAAACGAATAAAAAGCGAGGGGCCGGCACGGACCTGGATGGGAAGCGTGCCCATGTCGGCGCGGAGCGCGAACACGGGCCAGGCGGAGGGGACGCCGACCGCGTCGAGCTCGGTGCGGATGAGCACGCTGGTGCGGTGTGTTAGATTGATCTCTAATCCCAACCTGGGCCCAACGACCTAGTTGGGCCTTTGATCCGCTCCCTGATCGGGGGCGCCTAGCCTACTATGGCTGAAGGGCCCCTGTCACACTGCTCAATAAATAGAGGTGGGGGCCGACGGCTCAAGTCACGAGGTTCGCTTGAGCCGAGCTCCCCACCGACACCAAAACCCTAATCCGATCTAGAGGGCGCGCAGCCAGTGACGGGAAGTCACCAGTCGTGCCGCCACCAGACTCCACTGCCTTCACCGCCGGTCGCCACCGCGCATCACCGACGCCGTCTTCACCGACCGTCGCTGCCCTAGCGCAGACATCGACACCATGGCGGACGCGAGCGGATCCTCCCCTACGGTGTCAGGTTCGACATGTTCCTCCACTCCTCCCTCTAATCTCTGTCTAGAACATGTACTAGGACATGCTACCCATTTACATGAAATACCCGGCTAGATCTACGCTCCTAGTGATTCTATAGTCTAACAATGGTACCAGAGCCACGGTTTCTAGGGTTTTTATATCTATAACGGGTAAACAGACAATAAAGAAGTGAATCGATCAGATCCAGTTCAGATCTGAGAAAAGAAAAGGGTTCAGTGTAACCCTAACCCTAATTGGTGTAACACCTCTGGTGTTTTAACCTAGAACTAAAACTTGACATGTCATCATATGCATTGCAAAGCATTCATAAAGTAGAAAATTTAGAATGCATTCACTAAATAAGATTCTGTTTCATAAGTTGTTATTTTATGTGATGCAATGTGATTCAAAACGTTAAACAAAGATCATGACCACAAGGGTCAAATTTCATGTGATCATGTGAGACCATGTGTCATTTGACTTAAATAACCCTAATGGGCCATGTTACTGGTCAAAATTCAAATTTAAGACAAAAGGAAAACAAATCAAATTTGAATTCAACTTTAAATTTTAAAAGTCCTTTTTGCCCCTTTTGGATATTTCAAAATCCATTTGGAATTTGGGGTTGTGACAAAAAGTAAAGTTGGAGCTTATTTTATAAGGATCAACTTTGGTATTCAAAGTTTTCAAAGTTTACATATAAAATTTGGAGTAATTTTGAAATGATTCAAATACTCAAATGCACCCTAAATTCAAATTTCAAAATGGAGGTAGAATTTGAAAATGTTCCTTGAAGCAAAGTTGTAGAGCTTGAAAAGTTGAGCAACTTTAATTTTTGGAGATTTTCAACTTCTTTAGAATATTTGTGAGTAATTTGCAAATTAAACTCAGTGTCAATTCTGTAATTCTCATGAACAGTGTCACGATCACCGCCCCACCGCCGGCGTACCTTCTCCGGCCTTCTAGGCTCGCCCTCGGCCGCCCTTGGCTTCGCACTGGCACTGCATGCATGCTGCGTGTCGATTCCGCGCGCTCCTGGACGCGCTATAAAGCCCGGAACGCCGTCGTCGCCCTTTCTTTCCCTACTCTGTTTCCCGACGTCGCCGCCTCAACTCCGGCGAGTTCCCCTCGCTTCCTCAGCCCAAACCAGCCTCGGAAAAGCGGTGTTACAACTCCATCTCGTCCTTCTGAACCCATTCCAACCACTGTGGTTGTCTGGGATCGCCGAGAACCTCCTCTTGCGACTCTTCTTCCTCACGGCCGGCGATCTCAACCGAAGCTCCGGTTCACCGCGGCCAGCATCATCTGGTGAGCCGTTGTCGTTGTTTGTAGGTTCTATAGCTTCGTCTTGATGCTGTGGTCCTTATTCTGCTCTTGCTTGGTCATTTTGCCCGCTGCAGTCGCCGGAACTACGTCGTCGACGAAGTCTTCTCCGCCGTGAGCACTGTCACCGTCGACCCGCGTCACCGTAGTGCCTCCGGTCTCGTTCTTTGCTTCATCACGTCTGGAGTGAGCTGCTGATCCTTTCTGAGCCTTTTGTTTGATCTCAACCGACCTTGTTTCGCCGGCGTAACGCTGCCGTGGCACCACGTCCGCCATGGACGAAGTGAGTCTGGTTCCGTGTCGTAATCCACCTCTGAAATCCCATAGATCGACGCGGCTAGTCTTTGTGAGTGTTTAGGTACCATGGTCGTCGCAGTTGAGCTCATTGTCGGTGAGCTAGCGTCGGTCAGCGCCGTCGAGGCCACGGTCAAAGCCCGAGGTTAGGGATGACATGTGGGGCCGGATGTCAGTGATAGCAAGAGAGAGAATAGTGACTTTTGTTATTTTCTGATTTTGAATAGTGCTGAATCTTTGGAAATTTGTAGGAAAATAATCATAGCTCCAAAAATTCTGAAAAAATTTGTGTAGCTTCTGTACATGCTCCAGTATGGTTTAAAAATTTGAAACTTGAAATTTGAATAAATTTTTAATGTTCAAATATTCAGTCCATTAATTAATAAATGCAATTTCCATGATTTTTGTAGGCCGCTGTATAGCTCCAAAAATTATGAAATTTATTTTGGTACACTAATTTGTTATGAGGAAGCTTACATAAAATGTTGAGGTCATTTGGGACAAGTTTATTTTTGGGCTTATTTTAAATTAATTAAAAATTTAATAAAAACAACCCTAATTGTTAGGGTTAGGGTTTAATTTTTGTTTGGGTCAGGTTGTGTGACCAGTAGGGTTTCAAGATCAGTTTGGTCAAGTCACATGTGTGGTTCTTGCCGGTAGAATTGCAAGTTGGTTTTGTTGGCTTGCAATTGTACCGTGAAGGAAAATCGTATTCGGGGTGTTGTTACATTTCATGTACCGTGAAAGCATCATGTTTACATTATCATCATGTTAAAGCATATGTTATCATTTCGTGTAGAACCCGAGAGTGAAACGATTCTAGTTGAGCAAGTACTGGAAGAATCCCCGGTTGTCGCGGGATTTAGTAATTGTGGTACTGATCCGGAACCTGAGATCGCCAACGAAGGCAAGCCCCGGTTTATGCATTAAACCATTACCTTGTTTACTTTGAAAAGTTTATCACTTATGTTACTTATTGCATTAAGTTGATTTAATTCAAATGTTACCTACTTGATGCATTGCCTACCTTGTTGATTGTTTACCATCCTTGATGATGATTTCATTTACAAAGGCGTAGAATGCTTAGAATGCTTATGGTAGGCTTTCAAAGTAAAAGTTTCAATACAATCAAAGATGGCATACTGACCAAAGAAAGAAAGAAAGAAGATAGAATGAACTAGAGACTAGTTGGGTGGCTTATCTTGAATGTTGGGTAATGTTGCCGACTATGTCGCTTAAAGGCCACTCATTGTGGATCTTCTGAACGAGACACTTTGTAGTACTGGTCACATACTCCGGTAAGCCTACTTCGGCTAATCCGATACTAAGACGAATGCCCACGCACTGGGAGTGGTGAGATAGCGGGAGTAGCGTGTACCCTCGTGGCTTGAATGTGGCCGGATTTGAGGCGTGCTGTGCTCTCGGGTGGCGTGGAGACGGCTTAGTACGGGAGGATCCGGTAGCGAGGTTGATATATGCAAGATTAAGTTCTACATATGTCGTGTGATAAGGAATCACCAGCTGGGACTTGAATCAATTCGAATTGCCGGTGCTCCGCGGATATGGAGACTTGATTCATTACAGAAGCAATGTAGGACTGGTGAATTACTAAAACATGAGAAAAAGAAAGGAATGAGAAGGATTGTAATATGAGACATGAACACTTAGTTTGAGATAATGAACTAAAAGGACTTAGAGGTAAAAACTTGAAAGTAGGATCAAGAATAGTAAGCTTTTGGCAAAGAACTTTTGAATCTTTCTACATCCTTACCTTGACCCAACACCTACATCCCTAGGACATTCGCCCTTTTTCGTCGGGTCAGTCTTGTTGAGTACTTTTGTACTTAGGGTTTGTTAACCCTTGTTGCAGGTGAGTCGCATGCGCAGGCTTGTTTTGGTCCCTGCTGCATGTCAGTATATGAAGTCGATGACGATGAGGAATGATGAATGGCCTTTGGACAAGGCACTAGTTTGTGTGAAATAAATAATGTTAATGTAATATTATCCCGCTACTATGGTTGTATGACACTTATGGTTATGTAAGTTTGAAACAACTAGTTTGTAATATTAAACTTAAGTCTTCCGCTTTATAATCTCTGGTATGTATATTGAAAACTGTTGTAATCTGCAATGACTGTGATTGGGATCCTGTTTGGAAAAGATTCATGGATGATTCGGGTTTCTCGAGGACACCCGACAGACCTGTTAAGTCGTTGGGAACTCGTGTACGCTATCTGAGGTCTGTTGAGACATCGATGGGTGCATGTGGGCCCAATTCCTTAGGAGGTTCTGCC